TATGAAAGCTATAAATTGGTTTCATAGTAGGGCTGAGTACATTGGATACTTTTTCTTCCATTCTTGAGATACTTTACTACTATTTGTTCTTTGAAGCAAGGTATCAAGACAACTCTGCATTTTAAGAGTGGTTCATCCACTTCACCTAGGAAAGTTACTGAGCCTCAGTCCCTTCATCTACCACATGGGTACACAGTTACTCATCCCTCAGATTGTTACAGATTAAAAATAAGTGAGATAAAAATAGACATAAGGTTTAAATATAAAAAACAGAAAAAACAAATTAGTAACCACTAGAATTTTAAATGCAACACCCTTAGAATAACCCAGAAATTCCACTTCTCAGTCTATCACAGGAGACTGAGATCACTAGTGTGCATTAGCAGACATTATAGCTGGTCTATAAATGAAACCCTAGAAACAACCTATGTGTCCATCAATATGTCAATGGTTTAAACAATTATGGCAATTTTCCCCAAAGTTGAAAAATCACCTGGAATGCTTGTTTAAAAAAATATATATATACCAAGCTCCAAACCAGACATTGTGGATCAATTTCTGGAGGATAAGCCCAATAATACATATGGAATATGATGCAACAGTTAAAATAAAACAAATGAGGTAGAAATATGCATACTGATATGGAAACACTGAGCTCAGTAAGTTTTTTTTTTTTTGAGACAGAGTCTCACTTTGTCACCCTTGGTAGAGTGCTGTGGCATCATAGCTCATAACAACCTCAAACTCCTGCGCTTAAGTGATTCTCCTGCCTCCGCCTCCCGAGTAGCAGGGCTACAGGTACCCACCACAATGCCCAACTATTTTTAGAGACAAAGTCTCGCTCTTGCTCAGGCTGTTCTCAAACCTGTGAGCTCAGGCAATCCACTCACCTTAGCCTCCCAAGTGCTGGGATTACAGGCTTGAGCCACTGTACCCAACCCAGTAAGTTTTTTTAAAAAGAACAAAGTAATACCTACAATATAAATACTACTTATATATATTTTTTAAACCATCCAATAAAAAAACTAAATATTTCTATTTATCAAATTTGTAAGTATGTAGAAAAGTAAAGCTACATACACACCATTATAATGAAGTTTCCAGTGGAACTGGAAATTAGTCAAAAAAGGCCAAGAAGAAATTTTGTTTTAGCAATGTCAGAATGATAGACACATGATGGCAAGACTTTTCACTACACACCTTTTCTTTTTGTTAAATCTTTTGCATGTTATGAAACATTTATTTGTATATACTATGAAAATTTTTCATATATGCATAAAAGAGGGAATATTATAATGAACCCTCCAAAATTCATCACCCAGCTTCAACAGGTATCTACATATTTTTTACATATACTCCCACTCACTTTCCTACCACTACCACTGGGTTAATTCAAAGCAAATACTAACTTCTATATTTTTTGTATATATACATTTTTATGTTTGTTTATATATTGTGTTTTTTTAAAAACCATGAGAATGATCACTTGACAAAAAATTAAATTTTAGGCTTGGCGCCTGTGGCTCAAACGGCTAAGGCACCAGCCACATACACCTGAGCTGGTGGGTTTGAATCCAGCCTGGGTCCACCAAACAACATGGCTGCAACCAAAACAAAAACAGCCAGGTGTTGTGGTGGGCACCTGTAGTCTCAGCTACTTGGGAGGCAGAGGCAGGAGAATTGCTTGAGCCCAGGAGTTGGAGATTGCTGTGAGCTGTGATACCACAGCACTCTATCCAGGGTGACAGCTTGAGGCTCTGTCTCAAAAAAAAATTAAATTTTAAAAAAATGAACATAATTAAAAGACATTATCAATAAAGCACTGGGGAAAAAAAACTGCAGTATGCATACAAAAAGCTGATATCCTTTATAAATAAACAACTCTTTTTCACCCCCAATAAGAGTGCCCTGGCCTCATAGCTCATAGCAACCTCTAACTCTTGGGCTTAAGTGACTCCTTTGGCTCAGCATCCCAAGTGACTGGGACTCAGGCGCCGGCCACAACACCTGGATTTTTTTTTTTTTTTT